GTATATGCCAAAGTCCACATTCCATTTGATATACAGCACATTCGTCAAGGTGGAACGTGCATTATTTGAGAAGGAGATTACACGCTGTTTTGCATCTATGTTCTCTTCGCTGGAAATTCGTATTCGAACAGCCAATTGGAAAAATCCCCCAATGTTCAAGCATGTAACTCTCTACTTGGATGGTCATGACTCTCGAGCAACATATGGGGAAGATAAAGCAGCAATGTATTCTTATAAGCTAAAGAAATCGGGTTTGAGAACGCAAGTGGCCATCGATGCCAATGGAATGGTTCTCTTTGTATCCAAATCAGCGTCATGTCGTGATAACAACGATGGGAAAATGTTACAAGAGATGGGCATTGGTAAGAAGATCAACAACATGGACTGTATTGCTCTCGATGGAGGATATACACAATACATTGGCGATATTGTGGAAAAAGAAAAGTTGGACGAGCGTAACTTCTGTTTTCCCATTCGTAAGAAACGACTACAGCAACTCCACGAAGAGGAATCCAACTTTAATGCTATGTTTGGTGGATTTCGATCTACGTCAGAGGCTGTCTTTGGTGATCTCATGAAAACATTCGCCAAGTTTAATAACAAGGAGATTGTTCGAGTTGGATCCAAAAAGGAGTTTAATCTTACATTCCGCCTTTGTCTTCTGTTGCTAAATATTCGCAACTTTGTTAAAGCAGTGGACATCGAAGAGCAGCCACATCATCGTGGATGGATGGAAGAAGGAGTAGATTATCCACGAGAAAGGCAACTTGTCCCAGAGTTAACACAAACCGTTACAGTACAAAACAAACTGGAAAATGGTCTTGAGTTACAAAGAATGCAAGAGAAATTTGTAGGAATAGATGTTGCTTCAGATGATGATGATGAACAAACGTCAAATAAGGATGATGACGAGGAAATGTCAAACCACGAAGACGATAATACCAGTCTATAATTAACAAAAGTCTTTCCAAAGTTTTTAAAAACCTCTCAAACGCGCTCGCACTTCATATCAAGTATATTATGTGAATTAACCACTCTAATCGCTCGAAATGTCATGAACGGCACACCTTTCACACTACCAATTCTCTGTAGACCTTGAAGATGCTCCACACGCCATGGTCTCCAAATCTTTGCCAACGATTTTCCTTCGCGCACCTTTATGCCACATGCTGTAATAAAATGCCAACGACGTTCAGAACGAAATTCTTTGAGACCGGCCGCCACAATGGTATACTCTTCATCAGGCTCTAAAATTTGGTGGGCTGCAGTATACATCGAAACATGAATAGTTTTCAGATGTAATACATTTGTGTCTACTGTATCTTCATCATATTCGAAGATATCTGCAAGTGGGGCACTATACCTGTTATGAACACGCTTTGGCCAGGCAATAGAGATGTTGTCAACTTCCACAATTCCAACTTTGCTAAATTTACGAATGACATTAGGAGATGCATCCCTTGAAGGAAACATTCCTTTTTGCGAGCCAGCAACTAGTGTAATGGCAGTACATCCAGGCTCGCGCTTAAATGTCCTTATTTCGCCCAAAATAACTTTCTCTTTCCCATTTACCTCTTTTACATGTCCTTCCACAAAGTATATAGGTCTATCGTTAAAGGAATAGTTAGCCAGCAAAAGTGTAATAAGCTCGGGGTTCTTAAAGTTTTGCCACATATATCCATACTTCTTAGAGGTTACCGAATTCCACCAGTGACAATAAGCAAACAGTTTCTCATGTGGAAAATGTACAGCCACCATCGAGGTAATGCATTTTGCACGTTCCTCCCACTGCATCTCAAAGGAACATTTAAATGTTTTACATTTCTTCAAGAGATTCTTTGTCTTGTCCATTTCGTCTTGATATGACTGAAGAGATCTCAAAGATGAACCTTCAAACGTCAGCTCGATACGACTATAACCATGCTTTTTATATTTTTTAACTCGTCGTCCAAATGCTGTTTCTTTCTCCACCAAATCCTCCAAACGTGAACCAAGGCTCTTTCGCACCTCGGCACTTTCCAAAATCTGGACAAATTTGTTATACACCTTATATCGGATATTCTTTGTATCCCCTTTTCGACCTCTCCATGAAATACAATGATGTCCTACTCTTCCCACATCATCGACAATTTTTGTAGTTTTCGTTTGTTTTAGCAATCTCTCCACGTGCAGTCGTGTGGTAATACGTGTACAATCATAGGCAAAGTCTATGTCATGTAAAGCAATGCCGCTCTCGTTCAAGCTAGACAACATGTTCGTCAAAATTGGCACAACAACCTTTGCGCGGGAAAAATCTAAAGAAACCTTGATGGCAATAAAACCCTGTTGGTATTCTTTTCCAACAAACAACTTTCTATGGCGTTTGACCATGCGCGGAGAAAAATAGTTATCATCCATTTTAACCTGCCTAGCATCGACCAACTTTACAGATTCCACATTTAAATCGGTGTGGTTAAATGCATCGCGCAGTTCAGCAATGTACTTTCCAATTGCTGTACCTTTAGTGGTATCGTCAGCAAAGTTATATATACCCCAAAAGATGATGGAATCGCAAAAGAGTTTGGAGAATTTGGTGAATCCTTTTCTCTCCACACTGCCAAATGGTGCTGACTGTAGATTACCCACATTTGACAGCAAATGGGAAATTTCGTTGATGGCTTTGTTTATCAGAGATTCTTTTGTTGGCGACATAATAAAAGGTATACTTAGGTTTTAAAAAGTCTATAATTTAGGTCGTCATTTTTTTCTAAGCATATATTCACCAGCGTCTTTCTCGGTAAGTAATCCATCTGCACGTATTTTGTCACGTAGGAGTTGATAAGATGCCTCTAATAACTTTTTTATGCCGTTAGTGCCAAATATAGTGGCATCTTGTGGAAAGAGGTTACGATGATGATCTAAAAATTCATCCAAATAGACAAACATACACAATTCCAGATTCTTCTCATAAATAAAATCTGCAACAACTTCCTGCTGGCGTGCTTTGGTTAAACGTGTAGGCCTGGGCATAATATATTTGCGGCGATAAGACGTCTAAATGCTCATCCCCCTATATACCTCTTTGTCAATTACTCCCTTGAATAGATACAACTTGACATCTATATTAGATATTGTTGTATATGGCCCTCAAACACAAACATTGAGAGAAATATTCCCGGGAAAAAACGTGGTATATCAACTATCAAGAGATCACCATTCCGCCTAATATGCCAAAAAGGATTTGCAACAGGTGTGACCAAAAGAAGCCTTTATATGATTTCTACGATGATTCCAGAAATACATGTAAGGAATGCAAGATAAAGTCTTCCAAGGAGAGCTATCAGGCAAAAAAGAATGGTGGAAAGCATGTGAAATCTGGGAGATGTAAGAAAGATGAGGATGTGCAACAATCCGATGATGATTTACAGTATGAGAATAAGAAGTTAAAGAAACGTGTCAGAAAATTGGAGAAAGAAATGGATAAGATGAACCAAATTATTTCCCAGCAGAAGAGGGAGATTTATATAATAAATGCCTTGATCAAAGGATTTGCCAGTGGTCTCATGGTAAATCAAGAGGAAGAATTAGATACAGCCAATGTTGTTGAGCTATCGGAATAAACTTTTAAAATGTGCAATATATATACCTTCCATGAGTAGTATTATGGGAATTATTCCCAGGAAATTCATGTACTGTCAACCAAGCTGGTACCATTATCATCATGGGGAATCGTCTTGGGTCGAAATAGATGAATATGTTATGGAATACCAATGGAGGTTGCAAGAATTTGTACAGACAATTATGGAAGGAGTTTTTAAAAAGATAACAAATACATCTATAAAGAGTACATATACAAAAGCAAAAGAATCCAAATGGACATAGTTATCTAGCAGTATTACAAGAGCAAAACGTAAGGAGAGAGTATCAACATAAACATATTTTACATATCGGTAATCGGGCAGGACAAAAAGGTTGGAGCGCTTTTTTTTGGGCGAGGGAGTACCCAACCCACGCATTGGAATATTAAAGTAGATCAAGAGTAGAATATAAAATAAGAGATACATAATAGGTCAACGTGGGGAATATATTTGTCGCGGATATCAAAGCCAATCTGTAAAACAAAATACACATCTAAATGGGAATCGTCTTGGGTCGAAATAGATGAATATGTTATGGAATACCAATGGAGGTTGCAAGAATTTGTACAGACAATTATGGAAGGAGTTTTTAAAAAGATAACAAATACATCTATAAAGAGTACATATACAAAAGCAAAAGAATCCAAATGGACATAGTTATCTAGCAGTATTACAAGAGCAAAACGTAAGGAGAGAGTATCAACATAAACATATTTTACATATCGGTAATCGGGCAGGACAAAAAGGTTGGAGCGCTTTTTTTTGGGCGAGGGAGTACACCTGTTTTCTCGTCTTTTGTTAAGCTATGCCCACCATGTCTTAATATGACATATCTGGGGAATTCTAGGGAATAATTGACATAATTACGTGTGTATAATCCCTATTTTTGCAGAAAACGACATTATGGAGACTGATACCATCGTAAACCCTACGCCAAAGAAACTTGCACGGCTGCTTGATAATCTGTTGGAGAACGAATGGGGATTTCTTGATGAACCGTGGCCAATGTGCCCAAAGGTCAAGACATTTCATCGTTCAGAGTTGAAACCAATTGCAAGAATACAGGATATGAAAAAGGTGTTGATGAAGAGACTTGGAGCCATACCAGTGTTTTTCTTTCTATCTACCATCTGGAGTAAACACTATTTCCCTGGTCCATATAACGCACTTGAGAAAGGAATTGCATTCTTGTACTTTTTCGTCGCTGGAGAGACTATGGATTCCATGGCACAGTATATGCCAAAGTCCACATTCCATTTGATATACAGCACATTCGTCAAGGTGGAACGTGCATTATTTGAGAAGGAGATTACACGCTGTTTTGCATCTATGTTCTCTTCGTTGGAAATTCGTATTCGAACAGCCAATTGGAAAAATCCCCCAATGTTCAAGCATGTAACTCTCTACTTGGATGGTCATGACTCTCGAGCAACATATGGGGAAGACAAAGCAGCAATGTATTCTTATAAGCTAAAGAAATCAGGTTTGAGAACGCAAGTGGCCATCGATGCCAATGGAATGGTTCTCTTTGTATCCAAATCAGCGTCATGTCGTGATAACAACGATGGGAAAATGTTACAAGAGATGGGCATTGGCAAGAAGATCGACAGCATGGACTGTATTGCTCTCGATGGAGGATATACACAATACATTGGCGATATTGTGGAAAAAGAAAAGTTGGACGAGCGTAACTTCTGTTTTCCCATCCGTAAGAAACGACTACAGCAACTCCACGAAGAGGAATCCAACTTTAATGCTATGTTTGGTGGATTTCGATCTACGTCAGAGGCTGTCTTTGGTGATCTCATGAAAACATTCGCCAAGTTTAATAACAAGGAGATTGTAAGAGTTGGATCCAAAAAGGAGTTTAATCTTACATTCCGCCTTTGTCTTCTGTTGCTAAATATTCGCAACTTTGTTAAAGCAGTGGACATCGAAGAGCAGCCACATCATCGTGGATGGATGGAAGAAGGAGTAGATTATCCACGAGAAAGGCAACTTGTCCCAGAGTTAACTCAAACCGTTACAGTACAAAACAAACTGGAAAATGGTCTTGAGTTACAAAGAATGCAAGAGAAATTTGTAGGAATAGATGTTGCTTCAGATGATGATGATGAACAAACGTCAAATAAGGATGATGACGAGGAAATGTCAAACCACGAAGATGATAATACCAGTCTATAATTAACAAAAGTCTTTCCAAAGTTTTTAAAAACCTCTCAAACGCGCTCGCACTTCATATCAAGTATATTATGTGAATTAACCACTCTAATCGCTCGAAATGTCATGAACGGCACACCTTGCACACTACCAATTCTCTGTAGACCTTGAAGATGCTCCACACGCCATGGTGTCCAAATCTTTGCCAACGATTTTCCTGCGCGCACCTTTATGCCACATGCTGTAATAAAATGCCAACGATGTTCAGAACGAAATTCTTTGAGACCGGCCGCTACAATGGTATACTCCTCATCAGGCTTTAGAATTCGGTCGGCTGCAGTATACATCGAAACATGAATAGTTTTCAGATGTAATACATTTGTATCTACTGTATCTTCATCATATTCGAAGATATCTGCAAGTGGGGCACTATACCTGTTATGAACACGCTTTGGCCAGGCAATAGAGATGTTGTCAACTTCCACAATTCCAACTTTGCTAAATTTACGAATGACGTTAGAAGATGCATCCCTCGAAGGAAACATTCCTTTTTGCGAGCCAGCAACTAGCGTGATGGCAGTACATCCAGGCTCGCGCTTAAATGTCCTTATTTCGCCCAAAATAACTTCATCTTTCCCATTTACCTCTTCTACATGTCCTTCCACAAAATATATAGGTCTATCGTTAAAGGAATAGTTAGCCAGCAAAAGTGTAATAAGCTCGGGGTTCTTAAAATTTTGCCACATATATCCATACTTCTTAGAGGTTACCGAATTCCACCAGTGACAATAAGCAAACAGTTTCTCATGTGGAAAATGTACAGCCACCATCGAGGTAATGCATTTTGCACGTTCCTCCCACTGCATCTCAAAGGAACATTTAAATGTTTTACATTTCTTCAAGAGATTCTTTGTCTTGTCCATTTCGTCTTGATATGACTGAAGAGATCTCAAAGATGAACCTTCAAACGTCAGCTCGATACGACTATAACCATGCTTTTTATATTTTTTAACTCGTCGTCCAAATGCTGTTTCTTTCTCCACCAAATCCTCCAAACGTGAACCAAGGCTCTTTCGCACCTCGGCACTTTCCAAAATCTGGACAAATTTGTTATACACCTTATATCGGATATTCTTTGTATCCCCTTTTCGACCTCTCCATGAAATACAATGATGTCCTACTCTTCCCACATCATCGACAATTTTTGTAGTTTTCGTTTGTTTTAGCAATCTCTCCACGTGCAGTCGTGTGGTAATACGTGTACAATCATAGGCAAAGTCTATGTCATGTAAAGCAATGCCGCTCTCGTTCAAGCTAGACAACATGTTCGTCAAAATTGGCACAACAACCTTTGCGCGGGAAAAATCTAAAGAAACCTTGATGGCAATAAAACCCTGTTGGTATTCTTTTCCAACAAACAACTTTCTATGGCGTTTGACCATGCGCGGAGAAAAATAGTTATCATCCATTTTAACCTGCCTAGCATCGACCAACTTTACAGATTCCACATTTAAATCGGTGTGGTTAAATGCATCGCGCAGTTCAGCAATGTACTTTCCAATTGCTGTACCTTTAGTGGTATCGTCAGCAAAGTTATATATACCCCAAAAGATGATGGAATCGCAAAAGAGTTTGGAGAATTTGGTGAATCCTTTTCTCTCCACACTGCCAAATGGTGCTGACTGTAGATTACCCACATTTGACAGCAAATGGGAAATTTCGTTGATGGCTTTGTTTATCAGAGATTCTTTTGTTGGCGACATAATAAAAGGTATACTTAGGTTTTAAAAAGTCTATAATTTAGGTCGTCATTTTTTTCTAAGCATATATTCACCAGCGTCTTTCTCGGTAAGTAATCCATCTGCACGTATTTTGTCACGTAGGAGTTGATAAGATGCCTCTAATAACTTTTTTATGCCGTTAGTGCCAAATATAGTGGCATCTTGTGGAAAGAGGTTACGATGATGATCTAAAAATTCATCCAAATAGACAAACATACACAATTCCAGATTCTTCTCATAAATAAAATCTGCAACAACTTCCTGCTGGCGTGCTTTGGTTAAACGTGTAGGCCTGGGCATAATATATTTGCGGCGATAAGACGTCTAAATGCTCATCCCCCTATATACCTATTTGTCAATTACTCCCTTGAATAGATACAACTTGACATCTATATTAGATATTGTTGTATATGGCCCTCAAACACAAACATTGAGAGAAATATTCCCGGGAAAAAACGTGGTATATCAACTATCAAGAGATCACCATTCCGCCTAATATGCCAAAAAGGATTTGCAACAGGTGTGACCAAAAGAAGCCTTTATATGATTTCTACGATGATTCCAGAAATACATGTAAGGAATGCAAGATAAAGTCTTCCAAGGAGAGCTATCAGGCAAAAAAGAATGGTGGAAAGCATGTGAAATCTGGGAGATGTAAGAAAGATGAGGATGTGCAACAATCCGATGATGATTTACAGTATGAGAATAAGAAGTTAAAGAAACGTGTCAGAAAATTGGAGAAAGAAATGGATAAGATGAACCAAATTATTTCCCAGCAGAAGAGGGAGATTTATATAATAAATGCCTTGATCAAAGGATTTGCCAGTGGTCTCATGGTAAATCAAGAGGAAGAATTAGATACAGCCAATGTTGTTGAGCTATCGGAATAAACTTTTAAAATGTGCAATATATATACCTTCCATGAGTAGTATTATGGGAATTATTCCCAGGAAATTCATGTACTGTCAACCAAGCTGGTACCATTATCATCATGGGGAATCGTCTTGGGTCGAAATAGATGAATATGTTATGGAATACCAATGGAGGTTGCAAGAATTTGTACAGACAATTATGGAAGGAGTTTTTAAAAAGATAACAAATACATCTATAAAGAGTACATATACAAAAGCAAAAGAATCCAAATGGACATAGTTATCTAGCAGTATTACAAGAGCAAAACGTAAGGAGAGAGTATCAACATAAACATATTTTACATATCGGTAATCGGGCAGGACAAAAAGGTTGGAGCGCTTTTTTTTGGGCGAGGGAGTACCCAACCCACGCATTGGAATATTAAAGTAGATCAAGAGTAGAATATAAAATAAGAGATACATAATAGGTCAACGTGGGGAATATATTTGTCGCGGATATCAAAGCCAATCTGTAAAACAAAATACACATCTAAATGGGAATCGTCTTGGGTCGAAATAGATGAATATGTTGTGGAATACCAATGGAGGTTGCAAGAATTTGTACAGACAATTATGGAAGGAGTTTTTAAAAAGATAACAAATACATCTATAAAGAGTACATATACAAAAGCAAAAGAATCCAAATGGACATAGTTATCTAGCAGTATTACAAGAGCAAAACGTAAGGAGAGAGTATCAACATAAACATATTTTACATATCGGTAATCGGGCAGGACAAAAAGGTTGGAGCGCTTTTTTTTGGGCGAGGGAGTACACCTGTTTTCTCGTCTTTTGTTAAGCTATGCCCACCATTTTAAAACACCTACGTTCATATAACATATATAGCATTTATACGTGTGTCCCCGGTGAATCTCATGCATATACATCATGATGATAATGGTACCAGCTTGGTTGACAGTACATGAATTTCCTGGGAATAATTCCCATAATACTACTTATGGAAGGTATATATATTGCACATTTTAAAAGTTTATTCCGATAGCTCAACAACATTGGCTGTATCTAATTCTTCCTCTTGATTTACCATAAGACCACTGGCAAATCCTTTGATCAAGGCATTTATTATATAAATCTCCCTCTTCTGCTGGGAAATAATTTGGTTCATCTTATCCATTTCTTTCTCTAATTTTCTGACACGTTTCTTTAACTTCTTATTCTCATACTGTAAATCATCATCGGATTGTTGCACATCCTCATCTTTCTTACATCTCCCAGATTTCACATGCTTTCCACCATTCTTTTTTGCCTGATAGCTCTCCTTGGAAGACTTTATCTTGCATTCCTTACATGTATTTCTGGAATCATCGTAGAAATCATATGAAGGCTTCTTTTGGTCACATCTGTTGCAAATCCTTTTTGGCATATTAGGCGGAATGGTGATCTCTTGATACTTGATATACCACGTTTTTTCCCGGGAATATTTCTCTCAATGTTTGTGTTTGAGGGCCATATACAACAATATCTAATATAGATGTCAAGTTGTATCTATTCAAGGGAGTAATTGACAAAGCAGTACATTATGGAACACGGATCTTAAAGTCTTAACTCCGTAATTATTATGCCCAGGCCATCACGTTTAACTAAATCGCGCCAGCGGGAAGTTGTTGCCGATTTTATCTATGCAAAGAATCTGGAGTTGTGTATGTTTATCTATTTGGATGAATTTCTGGACTATCATCGTAATCTCTTTCCACAAGACGCCACTACATTTGGGACAAACGGCATAAAGAAACTATTGGAGGCATCCTATCAACTCATCCGTGAGAAAATACGTAATGCGGGATTGCTTACAAATAAGGATGCTGGTGAATACATGCTTAGAAGAAACTGACAACCTAAATCTTACACTTTTTAAAACCTTAAGTATAACTTCTACAATGTCTCCAACCAAAGAATCTATTGTAAATACAGCTTTCAACGAAGTTTCCCACTTGCTGTCAAATGTGGGTAGCCTAAAGTCTGCTCCACCTGGAAGTATAGAGAGAAAAGGGTTTACTAAGTTTTCGAAGCTCTTCTGCGATTCCATCATCTTTTGGGGTATATATAATTTTGCTGACAATTCCACTAAAGGTACGGCAATTGGAAAGTACATTGCGGAACTGCGCGATGCATTCAACCACATGAATTTAGATGTGGAATCCGTAAAGTTTTTGGATGCTAGGGCTGTTAAAATGGATGACAACTATTTTTCTGCACGCATGGTCAAACGCCATAGAAGGCTGTTTGTTGGAAAGGAATACCAGCATGGCTTTATTACCATTAAGGTTTCTCTAGATTTTTCACGAGCTAAGATTGTTGTGCCAATTTTGGACGGCATGTTGCCTATCTTGAACGAGAGTGGCATTGCTTTACATGACATAGACTTCGCCTATGATTGTACGCGTATTACCACACGGTTTTATGTAGAGAAATTACTAAAAGAAGGTAATAATACGGAAATTGTAGATGATTTAGGAAGAGTTGGACATCATTGCATTTCATGGAGAAGTTTAGAAGATGATAGAAAGAATATCCGATATAAGGTGTATAACAAATTTGTTCAGATTTTGGAAAGTGCCGAGGTGCGAAAGAGCCTTGGTTCACGTTTGGAGGATTTGGTGGAGAAAGAAACAGCATTTGGACGACGAGTTAAAAAATATAAAAAGCATGGTTATAGTCGTATCGAGCTGACGTTTGAAGGTTCATCTTTGAGATCTCTTCAGTCATATCAAGACGAAATGGACAAGACAAAGAATCTCTTGAAGAAATGTAAAACATTTAAATGTTCCTTTGAGATGCAGTGGGAGGAACGTGCAAAATGCATTACCTCGATGGTGGCTGTACATTTTCCACATGAGAAACTGTTTGCTTATTGTCACTGGTGGAATTCGGTAACCTCTAAGAAGTATGGATATATGTGGCAAAACTTTAAGAACCCCGAGCTTATTACACTTTTGCTGGCTAACTATTCCTTTAACGATAGACCTATATACTTTGTGGAAGGACATGTAAAAGAGGTAAATGGGAAAGAGAAAGTTATTTTGGGCGAAATAAGGACATTTAAGCGCGAGCCTGGATGTACTGCCATTACACTAGTTGCTGGCTCGCAAAAAGGAATGTTTCCTTCAAGGGATGCATCTCCTAATGTCATTCGTAAATTTAGCAAAGTTGGAATTGTGGAAGTTGACAACATCTCTATTGCCTGGCCAAAGCGTGTTCATAACAGGTATAGTGCCCCACTTGCAGATATCTTCGAATATGATGAAGATACAGTAGACACAAATGTATTACATCTGAAAACTATTCATGTTTCGATGTATACTGCAGCCCACCAAATTTTAGAGCCTGATGAAGAGTATACCATTGTGGCGGCCGGTCTCAAAGAATTTCGTTCTGAACGTCGTTGGCATTTTATTACAGCATGTGGCATAAAGGTGCGCGAAGGAAAATCGTTGGCAAAGATTTGGAGACCATGGCGTGTGGAGCATCTTCAAGGTCTACAGAGAATTGGTAGTGTGAAAGGTGTGCCGTTCATGACATTTCGAGCGATTAGAGTGGTTAATTCACATAATATACTTGATATGAAGTGCGAGCGCGTTTGAGAGGTTTTTAAAAACTTTGGAAAGACTTTTGTTAATTATAGACTGGTATTATCGTCTTCGTGGTTTGACATTTCCTCGTCATCATCCTTATTTGACGTTTGTTCATCATCATCATCTGAAGCAACATCTATTCCTACAAATTTCTCTTGCATTCTTTGTAACTCAAGACCGTTTTCCAGTTTGTTTTGTACTGTAATGGTTTGTGTTAACTCTGGGACAAGTTGCCTTTCTCGTGGATAATCTACTCCTTCTTCCATCCATCCACGATGATGTGGCTGCTCTTCGATGTCCACTGCTTTAACAAAGTTGCGAATATTTAGCAACAAAAGACAAAGGCGGAATGTAAGATTAAACTCCTTTTTGGATCCAACTCGAACAATCTCCTTGTTATTAAACTTGGCGAATGTTTTCATGAGATCACCAAAGACAGCCTCTGACGTAGATCGAAATCCACCAAACATAGCATTAAAGTTGGATTCCTCTTCGTGGAGTTGCTGTAGTCGTTTCTTACGAATGGGAAAACAGAAGTTACGCTCGTCCAACTTTTCTTTTTCCACAATATCGCCAATGTATTGTGTATATCCTCCATCGAGAGCAATACAGTCCATGTTGTTGATCTTCTTACCAATGCCCATCTCTTGTAACATTTTCCCATCGTTGTTATCACGACATGACGCTGATTTGGATACAAAGAGAACCATTCCATTGGCATCGATGGCCACTTGCGTTCTCAAACCCGATTTCTTTAGCTTATAAGAATACATTGCTGCTTTATCTTCCCCATATGTTGCTCGAGAGTCATGACCATCCAAGTAGAGAGTTACATGCTTGAACATTGGGGGATTTTTCCAATTGGCTGTTCGAATACGAATTTCCAGCGAAGAGAACATAGATGCAAAACAGCGTGTAATCTCCTTCTCAAATAATGCACGTTCCACCTTGACAAATATGCTGTATATCAAATGGAATGTGGACTTTGGCATATACTGTGCCATGGAATCCATAGTCTCTCCAGCGACGAAAAAGTACAGAAATGCAATTCCTTTCTCAAGTGCGTTATATGGACCAGGGAAATAGTGTTTACTCCAGATGGTAGATAGAAAGAAAAACACTGGTATGGCTCCAAGTCTCTTCATCAACACCTTTTTCATATCCTGTATTCTTGCGATTGGTTTCAACTCTGAACGATGAAATGTCTTGACCTTTGGGCACATTGGCCACGGTTCATCAAGAAATCCCCATTCGTTCTCCAACAGATTATCAAGCAGCCGTGCAAGTTTCTTTGGCGTAGGGTTTACGACGGTATCAGTCTCCATAATGTCGTTTTCTGCAAAAATAGGGATTACACACACGTAATTATGTCAATTATTCCCTAGAATTCCCCAGATATGTCATATTAAGAAATGGTGGGCATAGCTTAACAAAAGACGAGAAAACAGGTGTACTCCCTCGCCCAAAAAAAAGCGCTCCAACCTTTTTGTCCTGCCCGATTACCGATATGTAAAATATGTTTATGTTGATACTCTCTCCTTACGTTTTGCTCTTGTAATACTGCTAGATAACTATGTCCATTTGGATTCTTTTGCTTTTGTATATGTACTCTTTATAGATGTATTTGTTATCTTTTTAAAAACTCCTTCCATAATTGTCTGTACAAATTCTTGCAACCTCCATTGGTATTCCACAACATATTCATCTATTTCGACCCAAGACGATTCCCAATGTTCAAGCATGTAACTCTCTACTTGGATGGTCATGACTCTCGAGCAACATATGGGGAAGATAAAGCAGCAATGTATTCTTATAAGTTAAAGAAATCGGGTTTGAGAACGCAAGTGGCCATCGATGCCAATGGAATGGTTCTCTTTGTATCCAAATCAGCGTCATGTCGTGATAACAACGATGGGAAAATGTTACAAGAGATGGGCATTGGCAAGAAGATGGACAGCATGGACTGTATTGCTCTCGATGGAGGATATACACAATACATTGGCGATATTGTGGAAAAAGAAAAGTTGGACGAGCGTAACTTCTGTTTTCCCATCCGTAAGAAACGACTACAGCAACTCCACGAAGAGGAATCCAACTTTAATGCTATGTTTGGTGGATTTCGATCTACGTCAGAGGCTGTCTTTGGTGATCTCATGAAAACATTCGCCAAGTTTAATAACAAGGAGATTGTAAGAGTTGGATCCAAAAAGGAGTTTAATCTTACATTCCGCCTTTGTCTTCTGTTGCTAAATATTCGCAACTTTGTTAAAGCAGTGGACATCGAAGAGCAGCCACATCATCGTGGATGGATGGAAGAAGGAGTAGATTATCCACGAGAAAGGCAACTTGTCCCAGAGTTAACTCAAACCGTTACAGTACAAAACAAACTGGAAAATGGTCTTGAGTTACAAAGAATGCAAGAGAAATTTGTAGGAATAGATGTTGCTTCAGATGATGATGATGAACAAACGTCAAATAAGGATGATGACGAGGAAATGTCAAACCACGAAGATGATAATACCAGTCTATAATTAACAAAAGTCTTTCCAAAGTTTTTAAAAACCTCTCAAACGCGCTCGCACTTCATATCAAGTATATTATGTGAATTAACCACTCTAATCGCTCGAAATGTCATGAACGGCACACCTTTCACACTACCAATTCTCTGTAGACCTTGAAGATGCTCCACACGCCATGGTGTCCAAATCTTTGCCAACGATTTTCCTGCGCGCACCTTTATGCCACATGCTGTAATAAAATGCCAACGATGTTCAGAACGAAATTCTTTGAGACCGGCCGCTACAATGGTATACTCCTCATCAGGCTTTAGAATTCGGTCGGCTGCAGTATACATCGAAACATGAATAGTTTTCAGATGTAATACATTTGTATCTACTGTATCTTCATCATATTCGAAGATATCTGCAAGTGGGGCACTATACCTGTTATGAACACGCTTTGGCCAGGCAATAGAGATGTTGTCAACTTCCACAATTCCAACTTTGCTAAATTTACGAATGACGTTAGAAGATGCATCCCTCGAAGGAAACATTCCTTTTTGCGAGCCAGCAACTAGCGTGATGGCAGTACATCCAGGCTCGCGCTTAAATGTCCTTATTTCGCCCAAAATAACTTCATCTTTCCCATTTACCTCTTCTACATGTCCTTCCACAAAATATATAGGTCTATCGTTAAAGGAATAGTTAGCCAGCAAAAGTGTAATAAGCTCGGGGTTCTTAAAGTTTTGCCACATATATCCATACTTCTTAGAGGTTACCGAATTCCACCAGTGACAATAAGCAAACAGTTTCTCATGTGGAAAATGTACAGCCACCATCGAGGTAATGCATTTTGCACGTTCCTCCCACTGCATCTCAAAGGAACATTTAAATGTTTTACATTTCTTCAAGAGATTCTTTGTCTTGTCCATTTCGTCTTGATATGACTGAAGAGATCTCAAAGATGAACCTTCAAACGTCAGCTCGATACGACTATAACCATGCTTTTTATATTTTTTAACTCGTCGTCCAAATGCTGTTTCTTTCTCCACCAAATCCTCCAAACGTGAACCAAGGCTCTTTCGCACCTCGGCACTTTCCAAAATCTGGACAAATTTGTTATACACCTTATATCGGATATTCTTTGTATCCCCTTTTCGACCTCTCCATGAAATACAATGATGTCCTACTCTTCCCACATCATCGACAATTTTTGTAGTTTTCGTTTGTTTTAGCAATCTCTCCACGTGCAGTCGTGTGGTAATACGTGTACAATCATAGGCAAAGTCTATGTCATGTAAAGCAATGCCGCTCTCGTTCAAGCTAGACAACATGTTCGTCAAAATTGGCACAACAATCTTTGCGCGGGAAAAATCTAAAGAAACCTTGATGGCAATAAATCCCTGTTGGTATTCTTTTCCAACAAACAACTTTCTATGGCGTTTGACCATGCGCGGAGAAAAATAGTTATCATCCATTTTAACCTGCCTAGCATCGACCAACTTTACAGATTCCACATTTAAATCGGTGTGGTTAAATGCATCGCGCAGTTCAGCAATGTACTTTCCAATTGCTGTACCTTTAGTGGTATCGTCAGCAAAGTTATATATACCCCAAAAGATGATGGAATCGCAAAAGAGTTTGGAGAATTTGGTGAATCCTTTTCTCTCCACACTGCCAAATGGTGCTGACTGTAGATTACCCACATTTGACAGCAAATGGGAAATTTCGTTGATGGCTTTGTTTATCAGAGATTCTTTTGTTGGCGACATAATAAAAGGTATACTTAGGTTTTAAAAAGTCTATAATTTAGGTCGTCATTTTTTTCTAAGCATATATTCACCAGCGTCTTTCTCGGTAAGTAATCCATCTGCACGTATTTTGTCACGTAGGAGTTGATAAGATGCCTCTAATAACTTTTTTATGCCGTTAGTGCCAAATATAGTGGCATCTTGTGGAAAGAGGTTACGATGATGATCTAAAAATTCATCCAAATAGACAAACATACACAATTCCAGATTCTTCTCATAAATAAAATCTGCAACAACTTCCTGCTGGCGTGCTTTGGTTAAACGTGTAGGCCTGGGCATAATATATTTGCGGCGATAAGACGTCTAAATGGTCATCCCCCTATATACCTATTTGTCAATTACTCCCTTGAATAGATACAACTTGACATCTATATTAGATATTGTTGTGTATGCCCTCAAACACAAACATTGAGAGAAATATTCCCGGGAAAAAACGTGGTATATCAACTATCAAGAGATCACCATTCCGCCTAATATGCCAAAAAGGATTTGCAACAGGTGTGACCAAAAGAAGCCTTTATATGATTTCTACGATGATTCCAGAAATACATGTAAGGAATGCAAGATAAAGTCTTCCAAGGAGAGCTATCAGGCAAAAAAGAATGGTGGAAAGCATGTGAAATCTGGGAGATGTAAGAAAGATGAGGATGTGCAACAATCCGATGATGATTTACAGTATGAGAATAAGAAGTTAAAGAAACGTGTCAGAAAATTGGAGAAAGAAATGGATAAGATGAACCAAATTATTTCCCAGCAGAAGAGGGAGATTTATATAATAAATGCCTTGATCAAAGGATTTGCCAGTGGTCTCATGGTAAATCAAGAGGAAGAATTAGATACAGCCAATGTTGTTGAGCTATCGGAATAAACTTTTAAAATGTGCAATATATATACCTTCCATAAGTAGTATTATGGGAATTATTCCCAGGGAATTCATGTACTGTCAACCAAGCTGGTACCATTATCATCATGATGTATATGCATGAGATTCACCGGGGACACACGTATAAATGCTATATATGTTATATGAACGTAGGTGTTTTAAAATGGTGGGCATAGCTTAACAAAAGACGAGAAAACAGGTGTAATCCCTCGCCCAAAAAAAAGCGCTCCAACCTTTTTGTCCTGCCCGATTACCGATATGTAAAATATGTTTATGTTGATACTCTCTCCTTACGTTTTGCTCTTGTAATACTGCTAGATAACTATGTCCATTTGGATTCTTTTGCTTTTGTATATGTACTCTTTATAGATGTATTTGTTATCTTTTTAAAAACTCCTTCCATAATTGTCTGTACAAATTCTTGCAACCTCCATTGGTATTCCATAACATATTCATCTATTTCGACCCAAGACGATTCCCACCATCGTAAACCCTACGCCAAAGAAACTTGCACGGCTGCTTGATAATCTGTTGGAGAACGAATGGGGATTTCTTGATGAACCGTGGCCAATGTGCCCAAAGGTCAAGACATTTCATCGTTCAGAGTTGAAACCAATCGCAAGAATACAGGATATGAAAAAGGTGTTGATGAAGAGACTTGGAGCCATACCAGTGTTTTTCTTTCTATCTACCATCTGGAGTAAACACTATTTCCCTGGTCCATATAACGCACTTGAGAAAGGAATTGCATTTCTGTACTTTTTCGTCGCTGGAGAGACTATAGATTCCATGGCACAGTATATGCCAAAGTCCACATTCCATTTGATATACAGCACATTCGTCAAGGTGGAACGTGCATTATTTGAGAAGGAGATTACACGCTGTTTTGCATCTATGTTCTCTTCGCTGGAAATTCGTATTCGAACAGCCAATTGGAAAAATCCCCCAATGTTCAAGCATGTAACTCTCTACTTGGATGGTCATGTGCAACAGGCGAAGACTGGGACAGAGAAGTATAGAACGGGGACGAGAGTTGAAGCAGTGATGATTGGTGTTATTACTATGGTACAACTAAATATATATACAAAGTCGCCAACTAGGTTTCTAGGTGTAGTGTCATAGTGAGTCAGAGATGATAGGGAGTGACAAGGAATGACTAACTAGAGAGCAATGATAAACCTAATATGTTGCATCATGACTCTCGAGCAACATATGGGGAAGATAAAGCAGCAATGTATTCTTATAAGTTAAAGAAATCGGGTTTGAGAACGCAAGTGGCCATCGATGCCAATGGAATGGTTCTCTTTGTATCCAAATCAGCGTCATGTCGTGATAACAACGATGGGAAAATGTTACAAGAGATGGGCATTGGTAAGAAGATCAACAACATGGACTGTATTGCTCTCGATGGAGGATATACACAATACATTGGCGATATTATGGAAAAAGAAAAGTTGGACGAGCGTAACTTCTGTTTTCCCATTCGTAAGAAACGACTACAGCAACTCCACGAAGAGGAATCCAACTTTAATGCTATGTTTGGTGGATTTCGATCTACGTCAGAGGCTGTCTTTGGTGATCTCATGAAAACATTCGCCAAGTTTAATAACAAGGAGATTGTTCGAGTTGGATCTAAAAAGGAGTTTAATCTTACACTCCGCCTTTGCCTTCTCTTGCTAAATGTTCGCAACTTTGTCAAAGCAGTCGACATCGAAGAGCAGCCACATCATCGTGGATGGATGGAAGAAGGAGTAGATTATCCACGAGAAAGGCAACTTGTTCCAGAGTTAACACAAACCGTTACAGTACAAAACAAACTGGAATTCAAATGGTCTTGAGTTACAAAGAATGCAAGAGAAATTTGCAGGAATAGTTGTTGCTTCAGATGATGATGATGAACAAACGTCAAATAGGGATGATGACGAGGAAATGTCAAACCACGAAGATGATAATACCAGTCTATAATTAACAAAAGTCTTTCCAAAGTTTTTAAAAACCTCTCAAACGCGCTCGCACTTCATATCGTCCTCGCCATGAATACGAACCTTTTTTACTGCACGAAATGTCATCAACGGTACACCTTGCACACTACCAATTCTCTGTAGACCTTGAAGATGCTCCACACGCCATGGTCTCCAAATCTTTGCCAACGATTTTCCTGCGCGCACCTTTATGCCACATGCTGTAATAAAATGCCAACGATGTTCAGAACGAAATTCTTTGAGACCGGCGGCCACAATGGTATACTCTTCATCGGGCGTTAGAATTCGGTCGGCTGCAGTATACATCGAAACATGAATAGTTTTCAGATGTAACACATTTGTGTCTACTGTATCTTCATCATATTCGAAGATATCTGCAAGTGGGGCACTATACCTGTTATGAACACGCTTTGGCCAGGCAATAGAGATGTTGTCAACTTCCACAATTCCAACTTTGCTAAATTTACGAATGACATTAGGAGATGCATCCCTCGAAGGAAACATTCCTTTTTGCGAGCCAGCAACTAGTGTGATGGCAGTACATCCAGGCTCGCGCTTAAATGTCCTTATTTCGCCCAAAATAACTTCATCTTTCCCATTTACCTCTTCTACATGTCCTTCCACAAAGTATATAGGTCTATCGTTAAAGGAATAGTTAGCCAGCAAAAGTGTAATAAGCTCGGGGTTCTTAAAATTTTGCCACATATATCTGTCAAGAAAGCAGACCAAGCAATAGAATGAAGTAGATAAAGAGAACCTTGATCAAGGACTAAGAAATGAGTATAAGGAATAGGTTAAAGAGTATGTTGTATTGGCGATACCAAGTAAAGAGCTATAGATTTGCTATCTAAGGCCCTTTTATACTCGTTAGGGCGAAGTCACAAGAGCAAGCTCTTGTCTCGTGACAACCTCCCCCTCTAGGGCCGAGTTCCAAGAGGCCTTTGGCTGGGTTTGTGAGGGTGTTGCAGATGGAACTCGCGAACAAGGTCCGGGGAATTCTTGACACAGGCGGCCGGTTCCCAGGTTCGTTCGGATACGGGGTAGCCTCTCCAATGTATATAGTATTCAAGGTGGTTGCGCCTGATCCGTGAATCCAAAATGGCCTCAACCTCGTACTCCTCATCGCCGGAGACGACAAGCGGAGGAGGTCGTTTTGAGGCTCGACCGGGGATCGTATCTGGATGCGCACGCTCAAGTAAGTTTACATGAAAGACAGGATGTAGCTTGGTCGTTGGTGGTAAATCGAGACGGAAGGATCGAGTGCCGATTTTTTCGAGAATACGGTAAGGGCCCATGCGCTTATGGTCGAGCTTCTTGCATGGTCTGTTCGTTTGGAGGTTCCGGGCGTCTAGCCATACAAGATCTCCTACTTGCAGATTGGGTTGTGGTTGGGCCTTGGTGTCGAAGTTCCTGGCATGCTGTTCAATGGCGGTGTGGATATTGAGTTGCATCTCCGCATAGAGGTTCTTTAGGGCCTGGACGCGTTCCTGGGCTGGGACATTGTCCTTCGAGACTCTTGGGATGGTGATGGTAAATTTCGGATGGTAGCCGAGGTTGGCAAAGAATGGTGTTGTTTTTGTTGTTGAGTGTGTTGCGTTGTTGTATGCAAATTCTGCTATCGGTAGAAGGGTGCTCCAGTCCGTTTGCTGATAGTCGATATACCCTCGTAGGTACTGTTCCAGTATTGAATTTACTCTCTCGGTCTGTCCATCGGTGCGTTGGTGGTAGGCGGTAGAAAGCTTCTGATTGATCCCCAGAGACTTGAACATGGTGGAAACGAAGGCTGAAGTGAAGGTGGCGCCTCTGTCAGAAACAATGTCATCCGGGAGACCGTGGGCTGAAAATACGCGTTCTAGGAACAAACAGACCGTATCCTGTGCATTGATGTTGTCGTAGGTGGGGACAAAGTGTGCCATCTTGGTGAATCGGTCCACAAAAACACAGATTGCCGTATAGCCGTTTGAGGGGGGGAGTTGGGTGATGAAATCCATCGATACTGAGGTCCAGGGGCGATCGGGTACAGGCAGGGGTTGTAAAAGTCCATAAGGCTTGTGAGTGGATGACTTTGTCCGTTGGCAGGTGTCACAACCGTTGATGTAATCCTTGATGTAACGCCACATGGAAGGCCAGTAAAAGGTTCGACTGACAAGGTCTGAGGTCTTGGTAATTCCAAAATGACCGGCGGTTGGGGCGTCGTGACATTCTTGAAGGATTTGTTTCTTGAGTTCGGGATCGTCGGGGACGCAGACAAGGCCATCCCGCAGGAGTAGCCCATCTTGAATTGAGTACTGGGCATTGTCCGAGTTCGACTTTGCGGTCTTGGCGAGTATTGGACCAAAGTATAGATCATCGGGGATTAGTGTCTTGATTTTTTCCTGGATCGCTGGCGTCTCTGGTTGCAGTGACCGGGCCTGGATGGTGTTCAGAATCTGGATCGGCGGTAGGAGGGTCATCTCGGTCTTGCCGTGCTGGGCCGCACCTCCCTCTCCAGGGTTGTCCCGCCGGGACAAAGCATCGGCAGCGGCATTCTGGGAGCCAGGGCGGTAATGGATGGTAAAGTTGTAGTCAGACAAGATTTCAGACCAGCGGACTTGACGGCGGCTCAATTGGCGCGTGGTGGTAAAGTACTCAAGATTTCTGTGGTCGGTGATGACTTCCGTGGTAGCGGGCGAGAATTCCAGGTAGTGTCGCCAATGTTTAAAGGCAGACACAATGGCAAGGAGTTCTTTGTCGTAGATCTGATAGTTGAGTTCAGCAGGCAATAGTTTTCGGGAGTAGTAAGCGATAGGATGTAGGCGTCCATCTTGGTCACGCTGACTGCAGACAGCGCCGAGGGCCTTGTCAGAAGCGTCAGTTTCAATGATGCAGGGGCGATCTGGTTGGAAATGCCGAAGGACGGGGCCAGACATGAAGCGTGACTTGAGCTCCGTGAAAGCGGCTTGTGCGATAGCGGTCCAGACAAAGTTAGTATTTTTCTTGAGTAACGCGGTGAGAGGCGCGGCGATATGGGAGTATTTCCGTACAAAACGACGGTAGAAGTTGGAGAAACCCAGAAAGCACTGGACATCCGAAACGGAAGAGGGAGTGGGCCAATCGCGAATGGCGGCAACCTTGGCGGGGTCCATAGAAATACCGTCAGTTCCGATCACAAAGCCGAGGAATTCGACTTTGTCCTTGTCGAACGAGCATTTCTCGAGTTTTAAGCATAGACCAGCGTCTTGGAGCTTGCTGAGAACTTTGCGGACATGCGCGGTATGTTCCTCAAGGGTGTCGGAGTAGATGAGAATGTCGTCAATGTATAGCACGACAAAGTCATCTAGGTAATCGCGGAGGACGTCGTTGGCGAAAGCTTGGAAAGTTCCGGGAGCGTTCATTAGTCCGAAGGGCATGACTGTATACTCGAAGTGGCCATAGCGGCAGCGGAATGCAGTCTTCCATTCGTCGCCCTCCTTGATGCGGAGAAGATTGTATGCTCCTCGCATGTCGAGCTTGGTGAAATACTTGGCTTTGCCTAGTCGGTCGAAAGTTTCGGAGATCAGTGGCAGAGGGCATCGATTGGGGACAGTCACCTTGTTGAGGCCTCGATAGTCGACACAGAGGCGGAGAGAACCGTCTTTCTTTTTAACAAAAAGGACGGGGGCGCCAGCTGGAGACTCGGATCGACGGATGAACCCTTTTGCAAGGTTTTCTTGAATATATTCGCGTAGAACTTGCAGTTCCGTTTGTGATAGGTTGTACACTGGTCCAAATGGCACGGTGGCTCCTTCGACCACAGGGATATTGTGATCATAGGGTCGATGTGGCGGTAGCTTGTCGGCTTGCATCTTGGAGAATACCTGAGCATATTCGGCATATTTCTCGGGCAGTTGGACTGTGGGTTTTGATTCAGGGATAGAGTTGTCGTTGGTGGTTGCGCTGGCGAGTTCTTCGATTCGGGAGACGTCGAGCATGTATCCGACTCCTTGATTGGTCTTGAGGATCTGACGGAGTTGTGTATTGCTAATAATGGAGATGTTGGTTGCTGATCGGTTCTTGGCGGATTTGGATAGTTGGTTGGATCCTGAGGTGTACTTGGTGGGAACCAAAGTGGATTTGGGTTTGGAAGGTGGCAGAAGGATTCGGTCTTGTTCCTGGAAGGAAGGGATGGATCGAGGCATTGTTGATTGTGCAAGGGGGGAAAGCTTGTCGAGTGTGTGCTGATGGAGGCATGGCATAGTAGGAGGCCTTTCAAGTCCAAATTATCATATGGTGTTTGTTACATCTCTGCAGATCTTGACGATATCCACCGCGTCCATTAGAGGAGAATGTATATATGATACCAAGCATATAAGACAACCATTGTAACATTTTTTGTTTAACTATCCTACTAAACACCAACCTATTCTCCAAACAACAAAGTCTTCTTATTTTTCGCACACCAAACTCTTGAATATGTCCATCTACTATTAACCTGTAACCCTCACTGCAAGATTCGACAGAGTAGTTCTTGTATGTGATCATCTAAAGCACTTGTATTCTCAACTGTATCTTTGTCGTGAAATACAGGGGAGAGATTACATTTTAAAAATTCTTGTGCTGTCTATTGCTATTTTATTCTGTGTTCTGTTGCCCACTATGAAGAGATATGCCAGTTATGGAAGTCAACACTCCGTTCCTTGGACTTTGGATATTTTTTATATGCCTTTTTATATCCTCTGCACATGAAGGGGCCGCTACCGAATAAAATATAAAAATATATTTGTATTCTCAACTATGTGCTTGCTGTATGATAGATACCATCCTACATGCTGTTGTGTATACAGTTAAGTATAAGCCTTTTTAAAAAATTGTTATTGTTGGTTAACGTCATGACAATC